ATTCCTTGTTGTTCCTGGCTTGTCTATCTTACACATGTGGAGACTGTAAGGCTTCCTATATTGGCAAAACCAAACACCATTTAAAAGTCAGAGCCTATGAACATATGAGAATTTCCATCAAAATGCAAAAAAAAATTGAGTAACCCCTGTGTTTCCTCTATATGCCAACATATTGAAGAAACAGGACATCAATCTATGCTATCAAATTTTTCTATCTTCTGTAAGTCTAATACTGACCTGGAGCTATTGATTAAAGAAACCCTCCACATCAAACAGCACTCTCCAACACTGAACAACATGCAGTCTTCATTTAAAGTATACATTTCTTAATATGTTCGTATTACTGGTTTTACTTTTTTTTTTGTTGTGTTTTCTTGCTGTAGTTTCTCACCATGATTACTGTTTTGTGTTTTATTTGTTTAATTATCATTATATTTAGCAATTGTACTTTAACAATGTCCAAAGAATACATGCACAATTTTTTTCACTAATGGAAGTACAACCATTCAAAATGTCTTGAATTTGTTCACTTTACCTATATCAATGAACGTAAATCAAAAAGAGCAAAAATCCTAACACTAAGTACCACACTACTGATATTATCCAGTTTGACTGAACTCCATTTATAACAACCCCTGCTTTCTTCAATCAAGCCACTTTTTTTTTATCCAATGAGTCAAGTTGTCCCTCACACCTGCAAAGATATTTCCTGAACATGCTTTTCATGTGGCACCTTGTCAAATCCACATGTTTACCCTCATCTACATAACCAGCAACCTCTTCAAAGAATGTCAAAATATTTGTAGTGAAACACTTTCCCCTAGTGAAACCATGTTGATTATCTAAAACACTTTTAAATTTTGTTAAATGACTTTACAAAATATATTTTACAAGACTTTCAAAAATTTTTCCCACTATAAGTTTTTTCACTTCCCTTGGAAAGATGAGTAACATTAACCAATTTTCAATCCTCTGACACCTGCCAACTATTCAAGGATTTACAAAAAACAGTAGCAAGTGTCTCACATATTCAGTCCTTAAAACCTTTGAGGAAATATTATCTGGCCCAGGAGCCTTATTATTTAAACTTCCCATTTTTTTTTTTTTTAACAACTTCATAATTAATGTGATGATCTTGTTTCCATCTAGAAAGCATTCAGGTTGAAGATTATATCTTATACCTTCATTTAGTAAAAACTGACGAAAAAGCATAATTTAATAACCCAGCAATATCATAATCATGAGAATGAACAGAGAACAAAAGTTACACAATTACTACGAAATACAAAACTAAAAACTAGTAGTTATTTATCTTAGTCTAAATATAAAAGTATTGGTATTATACTTGATTGAGTGCAGAGTTGCATATGAATCATAAGGTGATTTTTGTGAGCTACAACACTTCTCCTTCAACACCCAAAAAGAACCTTAAATTAACCAATAATAATAATAAAAATGGGTTTTATTATATAATTTTTCAGAAGTGTTTTCTTCTTTAAATCAGTGGTTTCTTTAGTGATAGGGATTGTGCATGTTGTTAGGCATGCACACGTACGAGATTTTAGATAAACACCAAACAATAACACAAAGGGAATATTAAAAATGTGTTTATATTGATCAAAACAATGCACACTATGATGCTTATTTCCTAAAAAATATTCCTTATTATATAGTAGTTCAAGTGCTTAGAAACTTGTATTTCAAATTTCATATAAGTATATTTAACAGGCTGAGCTAAATTGCTTTTGATGAAACACTGTAACACATTACATATTAAGCAAACATACTAATTATTCTGGGGTGTACATGTTGTTAATTCATTTAAGTAGAAACAAAAAATGTCAAATAATTTATTTTCTGACCTTTGCTCCCCAACGGGAATAAGGCATTTCAAATAAGGTCACAGGAGTAAGCTTGTCAACATCACCAAATGCAACACCAGGAATGTAAAGGGCACACACAAGGTGAACCCATCTGTTCATTACAGAAAAAGAAAAAACAAATCATAACCAATATTCAAATGTTAAAATGTATTTTGAGAAACACTAACATTTTAATACATACTTTCTAAATTATTTAAATGACCCACATATTAACATTTAAAATGTTTATTATTAAGCCCAAAGCTAAAGAATGGGCCACCTGTCATGGACAACAAAACCTAATTTTTGGCATTATAAGCCTTCAGACTTACTGCTTAGACATTGTGATGTCATTTAAAATGACTATGAATGTAACACTTTCATGATAAAGAAAGACTTAAAATTATTAGAAACATAAATGCATAAAAGCACTTTAAATTTTTAATTAACAATGTTTTCACTAATTAACATAATTTAAACAACTACACTATACAGTTGTTTTCACTATATCTGTGTGGAAGGATAAATGCAAAACAATTCAAAAAATGTTCATTCTATCAAAACTTGAAGACATTTATAATTCATGAATTACTGTTGCAAATAAGCTTGTCTCATAAACAAATAGTTAGTTTTGCACAATAACAGAATGACATTGTCTTTTTCTAAGTTGACTACATATGCTTATTACAAAATGTATCCCTACACTTATATTTTCCTTAAAAAAAATTTAGGCTAATACTTTACAGATTACATGCTTTTTCTAATAACTAAGTGTATGGTACATGTTGAAAAACTTGACTTAATATTTGAAAAAAGCATAATGAGAGACTAATTACCACTGTAATGATAAATTATGCTATTACACATTATTGTTTCAAAATCATTGAGCCACACTATTAGAGCCCATGGATTTCCTCTGCATCCAAGTCTTGCTGTTTTGCACATGTCAGGACATCTTAGTGTGACAATCAAAATTTAATCAAACAACTTTACTATCAATGCATGTCAATAAATTTGGCATGAAATATACTTTATAATTCAAATTTGTAAATTATCTAAGCTTTAACTTCTTAATTCAAAAATATAGATTTAAAAAAATTCAATATTCATTTTCCTCTGTCACATGACACACCGAGCATCAAATTTCCACTTCAGAATTTGTTAGCTTCAACAATAGAATGCTGTAATCTTCAACCAATCGGAAACACAAATTATACACAATGAAAAGCAAAATTCCAAACTTTAAACCATCTAATTTTTTTTTGCTGACATATCAATAAATTTGCCAAACCCAATAGAAAAAGCAAATAATACTGATGATTCAATTACTTGTATAGTTGGAAAAATATTGATAAATTAATTACTTTCATGGCATGAATGAATTTAACCAGATTGTCGTAACATATAATTTCATCAACCTAGACAAAGGTTGTCCCACTGGCAGTCCTTGAGGTAGTTCAAGTAAAAATGTTCAAGTTTCAAGATATACATTACCTTCCAACATCTGTTTCTTTGAAGATCCCTCCTTGGTTTGGGCACAGTTCACAAACCTTTTGTTTATTTAAAAAAAAAGAACAATAATTAATTAATTATCATGAAAAAGTAATAAATGTTTAAATCTAGATTTTACATTTACATGTTGTAGCTATATATATGTACTAAGAGTTTAATACTCCATTGTTTATACACCTTTTGTATAAATACCATTACTGTTCCTTCCATCACTCTGATGATGGCTCTGAAGTAAGCAAAAACTAGTTAATAAATTTCTTTCCTATGCATAGTGACTTATTGACTTAATCAGTAACAATACAATCATATTTTGCTAGATATGGATGAGCAAGAAAGGGCACTAAGTGTTATGGGAATATATAGTTGTATGAAAATTGGCCACAAAATTACTTCAAAACAACTTTTTTTTTAGAACAAGGAGATTGAAAAAGGTTTAGCTAAAACAATGCTGATAACAGAGTTCCTCGGATAACAGCTGGTATAATGGGCATATAAAATAAAACCAAAATAGCTGGGTAGATGAACTGTAATAAGCTAAAATAAGTAATTTACCTAGCAACCGACACCTAATGAAAAAGGTTTAGCTAAAACAATCCTGATAACAGAGTTCCTCAGATAACAGCTGGTATAATGGGCATATAAAATCAAATCAAAATAGCTGGGTAGATGAACTGTAATAAGCTAAAATAAGTAATTTACTTAGCAACTGACACCTAATGAAAACACCGTCCTGATAAGAGCCACAATCTGATCTTGGATATTGTTAAAAAAAAAAAAGAGATTTTAATCTACTCATCCAGGCTTGCACTCCATTGGGACTTGATTCAATCTTTTAAATATGTTATGGGAGGTACACAAATTTTTGCCAACCTTTATCCAAAGTTAGCTGAGTGTTTAACTATCAGTTACTTGAATGCAAAAAACTTCATATATATATATATATATATATAAATTTATTTTTGGTGTGTGTGTTTCATATCCCATTATTGTAATCTTATTCTATTTTACTATACATTTTCTGACATCATTGACTATTGCATACAGATCAGTAGTGAAATTTGAAAATCAAAATTACTTTGCATGTTGGATAGTCAACATTCGAAAAGAAAAAAAATGCATGAGAAAAATATTATTTAAAAAATCTTAAAACTTAATAATAAAAAAAAAATTTGATATTTTGCATACAAAAGCCTTGTACAAAATGGTTATGAGGTCTATCCCTAGGACCGAGCCCACAGTGAGAGAGTTAAGTAAAGAGTTTTCATGGACAGGAGAGGGACTTAAATCAATTCATAAAAGAACAGGGTTATTCCACAATAAAGAAATTCTCAAAACTAAAAAAAATTTAATTCATGTGAACTTGTAAGAAATTCCAGCTTCACAAATAAATATTAGTATTAATGGCTAACACTTTAACAATTATAATTTTTAAATTGCATCTTTAAAACAATATTTCTTAAATTTATATTTCATTTTCATGTTTTTTAGGTATTTAGTTATCTACCAGAAAGTTATTTATGATTGTATGGCTTGTTTCACTGCAGCAGCAAAAAAAAAAAAAAAGTTTTAAACTTTATATGAATTTTCTACAGATTACGAAGCTTCTGCAAAATATCTTATTTTTAAACTAGAAAATATTTCATTAATACTTTTTTAACAAACAATTAGAAATGCTAATTATAATAAAAATAATTTTATCACATCAAAAATATAAACAAGCCAATATTTTTTAATTCTTAATCAGGTTTCATATAATACATATAACAAATTTTAAACCTTTTTGTATTCATTTATATAATTTTGTAAATTTCATTTCAGTAATTTTCTTTGCCTATTCAAGTAGTTATTTGGGATGTCAATGCCTAATGTACTCATGACCCAACAAACAGCAGTCTTGTTGGAGAAACAAAACTTGAAACAACTAGGTATAAATCTTGCTCTATAAAAACATAATTCAAATGAAGTATAAATATGATAAAGCAAGCTTTTCAAAAGTTTTTCCAAAAAAAGAAAAAAACAAAAAAAAACAACAACACAGGACCACAAACATGGAGTAAATTGTTCACAAATATATTTTCTTCTAGCAACATATCACCAAGCTAAGCCTTTACCTCTTTGTTTCAATCTTTATGGGAGTCTCCACTGAACTGACAGCCAAACTGGTTTATAGTTAAAAAGATTACAAGTTTATTAAATTTTTAAATCACTAGCTGATGGTTTCTCAAAGCTGGGATATAGCCAATTACATCACACTATGACAACCTAGGTTGAGAATAGTGTATGGTTACAACTGATAAAACTACTTGTATTAAAGTTTCAAGGTTTAAATTGATGCTGTTTTGTTCAAAAGTACATTGAATTTCCTCCTATAGTATTATAAGTGCTGTATTATGCTCAGAAAAATTTCAAGAAAATCACAAACAAATGGTTTCATTCAAAGCATACTGAAATTAACCGAAATTAAAAATGTGTAATTAAAAAAATTAGGTATAAATGTTAAATAAGTAAAACTTTTAACAGAATAAATTTCAACTCTGAAATGAAATACAGTATATTTTTTTAAAAATATGAAGAAAGACAAGTTTGTTTCTATAACTTGTAAAATTTTATGGTGCAATTTTGCCCTTGGGCAATGAGAAAACTAAGGGGTTTGTTTCTTTTGTTGTTAAGCACAAAACTATACAATGGGGTATCTGTGCTGTGCCCACTACATGTACTGAAACCAAGTTTTTAACATTATAAGTCACTCTAATATTAACTTAAATTACAAAAGATGTACACAATAAGTTATGTGAGAAAATGAACCTTAAAAAGTGTTAAAGATTTTAAGTGTGGAATACGGAAATATTACTTACTGGGTTCATGTTTCCAGCTTTACAGGCATCACAAAACCATGGTTCAGTAGAACTGGAAGAAACAGTGCTGACCACAGTATCAGTGTCACTAATTCCATAACAACCTACATCAAGAAATAAGTAAACTGAGCATCACACTAAAAAGCAGTTGCTACAAAGTACAAAAAAACCTACCATTCATATGCACGTAAATAATAATACAACTAAAAAAAAAGACTTAACAATCATTTGCATATAAATAGAAAAAACACCTCATAAGCTGCTACCATGCAGGATATTTAATGCATTGCTGAGAAAAGCAAAATATTTGTCAGATATGTGCTTTCGTGGAAGACAAACAGTGTTTCATGCAATAAAAAGTTACTTTTTCAGCATTATACAAGTATTTACAATTAAATGTTTTAAAGTTTATACTAAAATATGAAATGTCGTAAGTATACTATTTTAGTTTGTTTCATTCTGTTTGAATGATTTTTTACAGCAATATATTAATATAAAAAAATTATCATGACAAATACTTCTTATTGAAATAAAAAAGCATGGGATAAGTACTAACTGCATGTATGATGACAGGGCTTGAAACTAACTTTTCTGGCCACTGGCAAATGTTTACAAATTAATTCAAGATTCCCTCACTAAAAAATGACATAAGACTGATGCACAATGATGCTGTCAGAGAAAAGTTTCCCAGTTAGTTGTATTACTGATTGTTCCATCACAAACACAGCTTGTTCAGCAAAGAAACCAGAGTTAAATGGGCTATAGGTTAATTTAATTTTGCAAATCTATAGCCATGAAAACTTCTCAAGGACACACACAAGGCAAATATACAAAAAATAGATTCTGACCAATTCTGTGAAAAAATATCTAACCTTTCTAAGTAGAAACAGGCAAACAAAACTGTGTGATTAATATTGTGAAATATTATTCACGGTTCTTATACAAACTTGCTAGAACAAAGGAATAAATCATTAAGCAGTTTCATAGTGAAAAATATAAGTAAACTAATCTAAGTGTGGCATCTTTCGAACACAATGGATTCACCTCAAGTTTTGTAGATGTGACAGTTGCAGCTTTCTGGTAAGACAGCATCCTGTCTGAACAAGTTAAGTTAGATTCATAATTCTGGTACATTTTATGTAAAGAATTTATGATTCTACTAATGAAACCACTCCAACAGACAAAGGGTAGAAAAACAGTTTTCAAGACAGCATGCTCTTTAATTGTTAACATAAAAGATTTCAGAAGCACTTTCTAGATGAATCAAACTGCCCAATCTTTTTACCACTACCAAGATAAGCTAGAAAAAAACTGTTCAGAAAAGACCAATCTAACCACATCTACTTAACTCAAAGTTTACATTTTCCTATACCAAAAATGTATTTCTGATAATACTTACCTCTTTTCACACTTTAGCTTTATCCATATGAAAGTTTCTTATCTCTGCCCTTAAAAGCATTGGTATAAATTATACCTCAGTTGCTGCCAGATGAAAATTTCCAACTGAGGCTGACATAAGAGAGATGGTCAGAGATGAAGGGAAAGAGGTTGACACTCCTGAAGATACTAGAGGAGTGGAAACCAAGGCTAACCTGGCCAATTTGATGCTGCCGGAATAACTCGACAGGACGTGGAGTGAATCAGTGCAAGAACCATGGACAGCAGACAAATTGGAGGGAATATGTAAAGATGAAAACCAGTCTAATCCTGGCTGAGAGCAGCTATGCCCAAAGAAAGAAGGTGAGGTACAAGAAACCAGAGGGAGGGGAGCTGAGCATTCCATTGTGTGGCAAAAGCATCAATCTGAGGTGTCATGAGACAAGAACAGATCCAATGAAAAACTTGAAGATGAATCATCCATTCTGTGGGAAGAGACCTGTTGGTACAAGATAACTGCTCAGGCACTAAATTCATTACACCTGGAAAATGACAAGTAAGGAGAATGATCTGATGTTTGTGTGCCCAGAAGCATCTCTGGATGTGAGGGCAGTAGAGGGACACAGACTGTCGTGTTGTCCCTGTCCAACCACCAGCCAAGATCTTGCAAATTGGAAGCTAACAGACCATTGGACAATCCAGCACATCTGTGCAAATGTTCTACTGTCCCATGACAACCACTGAAGGGTCCCGAATGTGAGCTCAATCTAAAGAAATGAGTGATTCTAAGGATGCCCACATCCCCAAAAGAGATAGAGCTGCATGTGTTGGTGGAGAAGGAGACAACTGTATTTGAAGAACTACCCGTTTCATGGACTGAGGGCATAAAAGGTTGGGCCTGATCTAGTCTGGAATTGAAAAACACTCCTAAGTGATGAGGTACTGTGTGAGAGTAAAAATAGACTTCTCCTTTTTTATAACAAACCCAGCTATCACAGCTTCCGCTAACAGAGTTTGAGTGTGAAGCTCTGCTAAGTGGCGAGAAGAAGCCAGTCATCCATGTAATGGTGCATCTGAATACCCAATGAGTGAAGATGACATGAAAAGGATCTGACTATCCGGCAATAAAACATATGGGCCAGATGTGAGGTGAATAGAGCAGTATGAAACTGAAAAACCTGGCTGTCAGGCAAAAAAGGGAGATAATGCTCTGAAGACTCCACAATTGGAATATGAAGGTAGGCACTGTCAACATCGAATTTTGTAATCAATAGACCGGTTGAAAGAGTTACCAACTGGAAAGAAACAACTCAATTGTATATCAAGGAGGCTGAAGGAAGCAACTGAGACAAGAAAGGCCAATGACAGGTTGCCAATCGTCCCTCTTTTTTGGGTACTTCAAACATCCGGGAATAAAAACCCTTGAGAGAGGAGTTGACGAGCTCTATGGCCTCTTTGTGCCGAAGATCCTGGATGGCTTAAGCTCGATGACTGGATGTAAGAGGGCCTTTGGGGAGTGGATTGCCAACTGGTATAAGAGACGTGAACTGATTTGAGAACTTGAATGACCCACTAATCTGTGGTGAAGGTCTCCCATACTAACACAAACCCTCTGATTCGAGACCTTACAGGACCTGACCCTATAAGGTAGTCACAGACAGGAAATAGTCCTGTAGAAGACCTTTAGGACAGTCATTAAGTTAGTGTAGAAACAGAAGAGTGGAGACAGGCCACATTTACTTGAGATTCTATGGAAACAGGAATACCAGCAAAAATAGACTGTCTGAGAAAGGAGTTTCTCCGAGATCTCCAAGGGCCAAAGCATGAAGGCAAGCTCCCTCCAGCAAGTTATCTCTTTCCACAAGATCCCAACAACAAACCAAGGAGAGAGAAGCCAATAACCTGACCAAAGTAGAATTCAATAAATGATTAAGATCATATAAAAATTGAGCAGGAGATGTGTGATAAAACTCAAGACAACAGTTGTAAAGATGGGTCTCAATAATATTACCAACTATATAAATTCCTGTTTACTATGTTAGTGTTCGCAAAACACTTAGTTTATAAGTGTAAACACTGACTCATACAGGAGAATTGTTTTAACATATTCATTCAGATATTACTTTTGCACAAGTACACTACAGTCCAGGCTGTTATGGGTAATTATTAACAGTTGTCAACACAGATGTCTTGTCTTGTGTATGTCTGCATAGGACATACAGTTATTCATATGCAGAGATGTAAAGTCTTGCATGCAGTCTGATGTTTATTCTCCTGTTGGCTCTGAGACCGAGTTTGTGGGGGATCAAGAGTGGACTGGTGAAAATTTAGATTCTATATTTCCAGCACCTTCCTTTGTTCAGACAGCTAATCATAAGCCTCAGACATATGTTCCACCTCCTACACTTTTTTGCTACTAGTACACCAAGTTTGTCACTTACAACAATCTTGTATTTTTTATGCACATCATACTGAATGAATTGCGCCAGTAACAAGCAACATATTTTTAGTATATAACACTTACCTTCATGAACTGATACTCCACAGAAGTCACATTCTACTATCTCATCATCTTCTTGACTGAAAAAAATAAAAATATAAATTCATGGCAGTACTAAACTATCTTTCAAACATTCTACCATATAATTTCAAAATTATTATATTGTGAACAATAAATGGCTACTGTGAATTGTGTTCTCTATTTTCTTTGCAAACACAATTCAATACAAGAAATCATGTGGAATAAGCCAATGACTGGAATGAGCTTCACTGTTGTTTTCAATAAGGCTTCTGAAAGTTGAGCAGTGAACCAGAAAACTGAAAAAGGGAAGAATGTATAAAGTATTATAATTATATTTACCATGCAGTTACAACAGCATTTAATTTGACATGTCTTTAATAATGATATTTCAGTAAATTGGCTGAAATATTTAGACAAATGCAAACCATGCTGCTCAACATTTTTTGTAAAACTTCAGCAAAGAAAATCTGTGTATCTATTAACAAAACAAACTTTCAAAAATTGGTAAGTCACATCATGAAGACTGATAAATAGACACCAGCATTAAAAAAATAAAACAGAATGTAAGCAGACAAATATGAATAATTTAACTTTTACAGGTGTTTTCCCACCATTAGTGATGTTGAAATCCAAAGACTAAAGTTACAAAATACAAAAAGTTACCTATCCTGATCTAAAGCCATTTTGAAAGGTTTGATTTTAAGTTATAGATAAATCTTTGTCGGTTTAAGCTGCATTTTTTTAGGTTTTATAGCCAGTAGTGGTGGCTACTGTAATTGGCAGAATAAAGTATCAATTTGGTTTGTTGTTAAGTGCAAAGTTACACACTGCACTATCTGTTTCTTGCCTACAACAGGTACTGAAACCTGATTTTTAGTGTTAGGAGCATGCAGACTTACCAGAGAACCACTGGGGGACAAATAAAGTATCAAATATATAAAACAGAACTATAATTTTATCAACATTAAAGAAATTGAAATGATAAGAATGAGTGGAGGTATTCTAAATGCTTTGGGGAAAAATAAAATGTGTCACAACAAAATTTTTAAAATTTCACAATGTAAAAATGACAGAAAAAGTAAAACATTTTTCAAAGACAAAACTAGATAGTTCTTAGTAAGTTTTTGTCTACATTTCACATAATTTGGTTAAGTATTTCCATTGCAAAAACATCAATGAATAGCAGTGACATCCCTTCAGTCCAGAAAGGGTTAACTTGAAGCTTTAATGAAGGATAAGTTGATCACACACCAAAAATATACTTCAAAATATCAAATTTTACATTGATAGATATTGAGCTTAACTTTTTTAAACTGATTTTAACAAAAGCATAGCTTTTCAAAAACTGCATACTGATGTGATTATTTTACATAATGAAAGCAGACTAGCAAGTCTTTATGACTTAACAACACATTTACTTAAACTCAAAGTTTAATGCTATTAAAATCTGTTACCATCCTCTCAATCCCTTCATTTGAGATTTTCATGTGATCATGATCAACATGCTTAAAACTTGTGAGAGGCTATAGATTGCTTGCAAGTATGATGACGAGTTTGAAAACTAAAACATTAGCTACAGGCCAAGTTGCTTATATCCAAGGATATGATGTTCTAGCTCAGACAACAAAACAATAATAATCCTTCAAATAATTCAAGCATGTCAAACAAGCTTTGTGAAATGAAATACTATCATGAGCAATTAGTGTATTTAAAATATGGGTAAAATTCAACTCAGGATTCCTATGAGTGATGTTAGGACAAGTATGGAAATCTAACGTTCTGGATACACCAAGTACACAGTTACTTAATCATTGCAATAATAAGAGGTTTATGGATCTAGTCTTTGGAAGGACAGCTATACTCATTTTTCTACTGTAAGAAAATAAACTCAAATACATACCTTACTGAGAGAGAAAACAAAGAATTGCTTAATATAATGTTCACCTAGTGTTTCAGAATGACTTTTCAGTTGCAGTTTGTTGAATAAAGCAAATGAAGAAAGTACATTTAAATGGAGAGTAAAAGAAAATGTATTTACCAAAAGTGACTGAAGATACATTTTACATGGAGGTAAAATTAAAAGCAAACTCACAAAATAAAGAAATAAACAGGAACAACTTATATATATATAGAGAGAGCACACATTTATGATTTTGTATTAAAAACAAGCCTGAATGAAACCATGCAAAATATTATAAACAATTACACTTTTTTGAATGAATGTTTTTTGAGGAAACTCGAATATTTTATTTGTGGGAAAACCACATTTAAGCCCTAAAATAGACCCTAGTATATATATATATATATATGATTTTTTTTCAAAGATACAGTTGTTGGTATGGAATATAAAAGTATATATTCTCACTTACCTAATGTCACCAAGGCACACACTACAGATAAGAACTTTAATTTTGCTTGATGACCCTTCACCAGAAATCTGTAGGGTGAAATTAATTTGCTGACTGATAAGTGCAATACATAACATTTTTAATGTTTATAAGTTTCACTATAAACATGGTTAATAACACCTAAAAATAATATATTTAATTATTATAGTGGAAAACATAATTGATTTAATCAGTCTATATAATATATTTCATTTAAATACAAACCAAATGTTCTTGAAAGTATTTTAAACAAAAGCACTTTAAACTAATGGAAGAAAGATAACATTGTGTACACATTAAAACTGGATAACAAGTTTTTACTAATTGTGAATATGTTTGTGCAGCAATGTACGATGAACACAAGACTAAAAATAATGTACTTAAATTATAAGATCATACTTTGAAATCATTATCATAATCGATTAATATCACAAAAACATTCAACTAATTGAAATTAGTGTTTCCAACTGTTCCAACTATTGAAATATTTCCATTATGATTTCTCATTATTATTTTTGATTAATTCTAGGTTGTTCAGCTTCATCAGTTAGCATCATGACTCACAAAAGTAATCAACTAGTCAAAATTTGGGTTTCCAAGTATTACAGTATTCAACTAATTCCACTCATCTATATTTTTTCTACCCCAACACGAACTGTAGAAAAATCATCAATGTAGAGTGAAATGAAAAATTGAAAAGTATGAAATAAAATTAATATAATTTATTCTTACTTATTTCAGTGCATCACTTGTCACCACTTCAAGTTAATTATGTTCACAATTTAAACTTTTAACCTTTTTAACATGTTTCTTTAATTTTAACATTTTAATGTCAGGCTTGTAACATAGAAACAATATATTTGTCCATGAAAAGCAATGAGTCACAGCAAGGACCAATTAGCAGATTCTTGGACACTGATGTACTTACTTGCCCAGCACGAGCTAAATGAGCATCAGCACTTGATATGTGTAACAAAGTTAATATTAATTTCTTTTTACTTTTAAGTTTGTTGTCCAAATAAATATTATTGCAGCTTTCAAATATGCATTTTATAACACAAAAATATATCATGCACTAGAATAGAATGTTCCAAAACTACTGTAATTTAACTGGCTTTATAACTAAGCAATAGGTTTAAAATTTCATTACTGCTAGGAACAATGATTTGCTTAATACACATCAAGTACTTCCTCTCAATTACTGTCTTTTGTTGCCAAATTCAGAAGGATGGTTGTAAGCTTGATATAGAAGACAAAATGCACTTTCTATTGATTATAAGCATGTCCATCAAATAAGGCTACTTAGTTTACAAAACTGCTTTGAGATGAAAAGATGGCTTCTCTATATGGGTTTCACAAATCTATTGATATCTCAGCAAACCAAGAAGGTAAGAAGTTCAAATTTTATATTTCTGCTTATCATAATGTGTAGTTTATTTCTAATTGGTTGGACATCCTGAAAGCCATAGTAGGGAAGATATAACTTCTATAACAAAAGAATTTAGAGCAAAGATGCATCACATGCAAGAGAGAGGTAAATATTAAGAACTTTAATATTTTCTTTTGAAATTAAGTGACAAGAAAGTTATTTCAATTTTGAATATTGCTCTGTAGAAAATTGTGATGCACACTTTCCTTACACTGTTAACAAAGGGTTGTCATGAAATAATGTTTATTTTTATCAACTACAACTCAATATCTACAGTATTCTCATAGACATTTGTAGGGAGAAACCTAAGGAATGATATTAATCATACAGTCATTTTGTTATAGTTTTCATACAATACAGGTATGATATATATATATATTCATGTACAACAGTTTAGGATTAAAAAAAGCAGCTTTATCCTATATTACTATATCTGAAGGTGTCTATAATACTATAAAAAGGACAGTCCAAAAAATGTCTTTATAAACCAAACAAGCTGAAGATATTAGGATTAGTCTAATGTGAATCTATTAATGAGCCAGACAATTAATGAATTAGTAAACTACTAATTATTCAGCTCTAATTCTATGTACCCAATTTAGTCCATCCCTTTACAATATTTTATTTGTGCTATTTCTCAATTTGAAATGGTTAATTCATTGTAAGTAATTAAGTGTTGATGTCATACACAATCAGTTTTCTCTATTCGAAATAATGAAAACAAATTAACACCATCTAATAAAAAAATTCACATTATGAAGTTGCAAATACATTATATTTTCAACTTGTATTTAGTCAGTTATCTATTTTCGAGATCACATACACGTGTTTCAGCGTGATGACTGATATGTTTATTTATACATTAGTGATACTTAAATTTAAAACTCGGTGTCATAATTTTAATATTTCAACATATATTAAAGAAAAACAAAACTAATATAGATAAATATGGGCTATTATATGTGCCCAGTTAAAATAAATGTAAAGGTATTTGTGTAGTTATTAAATTCATACCTGCAAAAATACTGATTGATACAAACACTTTTCAATTGACTGCCATTCTTTCTTGGCAGACTGACTTAAAACTTGGTAGGGTTATATCTTGGTCCAATACACCCAGACACCTTATTCATATGTTTAATTTAAGCCTTTTTAAGGATTTTATGGGATTAAAGGACGAACAACCCAAAAAAAATGTATATTTTGGGCTCCTGTGCAGTCTAATTTACAGCAATCAAAATGAAAATGGGCACAAATATAAATTTTCATTCGAGCAACAAAAGTTGGATTTGCCCATTTTTAGCTTTTTTTTTTTTGGGGGGGGGGGTCAATTACTTGGCTGTATTTTGACCAAGTTGCATAAGATCTGATAGAAAGATACTTTTCTATAGGTCCCCTACATTGGCAAGCAAAAATGGTGAACTTACCCATTTTAAGTAATTACTCCATCATATTTCAGCCAATTTACAAGGTATTTGGTACAAATGATACTTTGTTACACGTGCTATACATGTACATACAGAAATGTGGAATATGTCCAGGGGGGGGGGGGGGCGAAAAGGTTAAATAAATCCATAATTTTTGGGGTTTTGGTCAATTACTCAGCCTTTCTTTTGACCAATTTACATGGTATTTGTACAAAGATATCTTCATGCAGAGGTCCCAGGCAGAGATATAGAGTTCTCAGATTTTCTGGTGTCAAAATTGGTCATGTTGGGATTGCATGATGAAGACATGTTGCATTTGCTCACGAATGTTAATTCAATGTTGAGATCAATTTAAACCAGAACATTTTCTTTAAAAAAAACATAGAAACTGATATGAAGACAAAACTGAGACCAACTAGGATTGAATCCATAACTGTACTGATCATGGATGTTTTAACCAAATGGCTTATCCAAATACTTCATTCATTTGTACGAATTATATTTGATAAGACTTGTGAGTTATACTATTGGCTTATAAAACTTAAGTCTTTTATTTACTGCTATATTCACAGTAGAAGTGTTAAAGGTTGACAGTAGCAAAGCATCCTAAGATGTTAAAAGTTAACCAGAAGAAACGAAAAACCAAGATAAAAAGTTTCAAGCTGATGACTTTGTTACCAAACAGATGTTTTTACCAATTAGACTTGCACACCTTAAATGCCATAACAATGCCTTAATTCCAGTAAAAATGTAAAATATTTATTCAAGAAAAAAAATTTTGGATACCCTCTGACGAGCTTGGCTTTGTCTTTGCATGGCTTTCTCAATCAACTCTCCTACAGAATGATCTGGAACTTCATTTTGTGGTGGTTGAGTTGGAGGAATAGGAATAGGAGTCTCCTGTACCTTTTTCTCTACTTCCTCCTCAGACTTACTTTCTTCCTCACTGCTAGCTGAGGTATCTCCTCCATCATCAGATCCTCCTATTTAAAAAAATAAAAATACACAACTTATTACAAGACCAACAAAAATATTCAAATCAAACCTACATATTAAATTTTAAAACATGTAGAATTATTTGTAGAGTGAAATTTAAATTTTTAGATACTATCATTACAGAACAAATATTATCTTTACAAGTTGACATGTTATCAGTAAATAGTATTCACATATATTAATACAGAAATCTACTGGAGTGTTGAATATCTATATTCATAAAGACAAGCTCGGTATGTTCCCAACCAGATATAAACTTTTCTTGAATTTATTCTCAAAATTTTATTTTCAAATACAAATTACCCCTAAAATGACAAATGCTAACATTCTCACATCAAAATGGATAAGCTTTTTTAGAATTGTTTCTGATTGATATTGCAATTTTTTCTACCTAATTAACACCATTTTAGCTTGTACATGTAAACTGATTTTAAAAGGTAAAAAAAAAAATAATTTCGGAACATAACTACCTCTGTTGTATGTAAGCATGTCATTTGTTTTCTATCTTCCCGGTTTAATGTAGCATTATTTGAAATCAGTTAGTACACTCATATGTACAGATTTCAAATAAACGTGATCAAGAGTCATTAAGTTGATTTCATTCTAACTGTGTTTGTTCTGTCATTCTATTGAGCAGTAAAGGACAAAAGTGGGTGTCACCCAATATTCATCAGGGGTAGAAAAACTATAAGCAAAGTTGTGAAAAGAACTGGTCAGTCATCCAGATATAAGCTACAGAAGCAGATGACCATTAATACTGGGTCAAAGATGAAGATCGTAGGATAGTACCAACCAACCACACAATATACAATGGTGGTAACACTGTTCACCATCAGAGTACCACTGGTTGCCATTTAAGGAAAATAATACAACTTCTGAGGAGGAGATTCTAGGCTTCATAGGCTTCAAAACATTCATATGAGAACTTGTATTCAATAAAATTCATGAAAGTGAATTCATTGAAAGAATAAATATCATTACAATTTCTACTTTATTTTGTAGGTCTGTGACACTTAAGTCATTATCATATTAATTAGTTAAAAGTATTATTATTCATGTTTTTTCTTTGTAGTTCTGTTGTATTTGTTGTACTTTGCAGGGCTTGAAATTTATATTAAATAGCTGGTCCTCTCAATTGAATTTTCAAGTTTATCATACCTATTGTCCAACTTGTTTCACTCTGTCAACCTTTTACGTATCTGTGTAATCAAAGCTCCAAGTCTAAGAAATCCAGAATATTATACTCTGTGTTATTTTTTCATTAATCTGAAAAATCATGTACTTCAATATTTGGATTAATTCAGTTATTAAAGCATCAAGGCAATAAATAAATAATCAATCTCGAGATCAAATTAGCATATACTGGAAGTCTTAGTTAAATATTCCTAGTGTTCATAATAGTTTAACAGTAATGCAATACTTATAATTCATAATATAACTTTGAGGTAATATTGGATTTAACGTTGAACTAATCTATTCTCTGAATGCTGCTGCTATCACAAATTTTTGGAAAATGTACAATTCTTTCTTGACAACAAATCAGTATACAAAAAGATATTACAAGACATCATATACATCTGTGGCCAGTGGTAGTATAGTTTCGAATCTCTATTTCCAACATTCATCTTGGTTGGCAACTCTCATCATATGATCAAATTATGCATTGAAGAGAAGCATGCCAGTTCATCTCAAAAAAGTTATAACAAAATGGCAAACTCATTTCAATTTGGTTTTTCAAAAAGGCTGCATAAAACAGAACTGGAAAATAATACAGTCCCAGTGAACCAAAAAGAATCTATAACAAAAGATGAATTTCCATCAGTATTATCAAGTTCTATGTGATGATTTCACGCAACAAAAGCCAATGTTAAGCCCTTGTAAGCAGAGTCAAGTTTTACATGACAATTCAAAGCATAAAGGAAGGTGGGGTGACCATTGATGATCTATAATAATCAGACCTATGCCATGTACTGCATCGTTTGTATATGGTATGAAAAAAAGGAAACTGAAAAATGAGTTTATTTCTGGCTTGAAGAACTTCAGAATTACTGCTGTAAAGGAACTCAAAAAATGCAAAAAAAACAAACTCCTGTTATGGAAAGCCTAAGTAGGATGAGCAAAGACAAAAGGTTTGCATATTGAAGTTTACTACATCACTGCTCATGGCCCTTTATAACAGACATACAAGAAGCATGTTTTACAAAATATATTGCAAATACAATCTGAAAGGATGCAAGATCTTTAAATGCATATTATTTCTTCAGTGCTATTATGGATGGGCTCACAGATACTGGCAACACTGATCAATATACAGTGCATGTGCATTACATTAACGTAGAATCACTTTATCCTGATTGTCAATTCATGGGTTTTAAATCTCTAAGCAAAGCTGATTCAAAACATCTTCAGATTGGCTGGAATGGCAACTTAACAGTACTGTTGATTCTGACATCAAATATGGAGTTACAATCAGAGAGAAAAAGAAACCAAATGTAACCGTTTCATTGCACAGTTTATAGATAGGAATAGCACTCAAGTCCAGAATAAAGGGATTCTCTCAAACAGAAATGTTCTTTAAACAGTTGTGAAAGTTTTACCACTACTCTCCCAAAACTAGGAATACTTGAATGAGGCAGAGGAAGTTTTATCAATCATAGCTAAGTCCTCCAAAGCATCAGCTACAAGATGGGGGCACATACTCGTAAAGACTACAGAGAAGGCAGCTAGTCAACATTACCCACTGCCAACTCTGGGACTGACCATCACTTGATAACATCCTCAAGGCTGAAATGGCGTAAAATGTTCAGTGACTAGATTCAAACCCATGACCCACAGATTGGGAGTCAAGTGCTCTAACTACATGGCCATGCCAGACCTCCCAGCAACTAGCAAGAAAACACTTGAGGTTTTGAGTGTGAATGGTTATGCTGAACTTGAACAGTTACAGAATCATTTTAATGGTATGTTAAAAGCCACAAGCTTTTGTGCTGATGCTAACATTTATGACAAACAATTTCTGTAACATTTACTGTATTGTCAAAGACTGAAAGATAAATCAGACTCTCATTGAAAGTCCCAATGCTCCATAGTGTCAAGTCCTAAAAAATAAAGTTATCCTCTTCTCAGGTTCAACAGTTCTTGCCTTAATTGTAATAACCATGGTTATTTCTGTATCATCTGCTAAACCGGTAAGGGGATTTCCTCAAATGGACAATATCATGACTGACTGGGTTTAAACCTCAAGTTCATACAATTTAAGTCATTGTAAAGTTGTCAAACAGTAACTTAAACTGAAGTTACCTGAAAAGCAAGTGAATTATGGCACAAGAATAGTAAAAATGGCAGGAGATATATATTTCCACATAACACACATCTCACCTCACAAGTTGTAAATCACTCAGTAAATGTATTGAATGAAATAGCACACAAACTGCTCACAAGCATACCTCAAAGAATTTTTTATCTAACCTTTTCTAACTGAACAAGTTTCCAATTCTTACATGTTAGTTGCTTATATAATAATAAATAAAAATTATACATGAAAAACACAAAATATAACACTTACCTTTGACCTCTTGTTTTTTGCTGTTGGTTGCCTATGAAATTTATGCCTCCTATTTTTATACTCATGGTACTAGCACACAACACAGAATAACACACACAAAGCCAAAAATGTCCTATAACTATCTTAATTTAACTGACTTTCTAACTATTGCATAAGAGCCTTTAAATAATTTCCAAAACTTCTCGATCGAAACACCACAAGAGAAACTTTCAAATTAAAGAAAAAATAGATAGTACCCTTTACTGAAAACAATGTAATATATCATTTGATAGATTAAAACTTTGCCCTTCTATTGATTATAAATGATACTGTATAAAATGTCAGAGAAATATCTTCTATTTTGTGAAAGATGAGACAGGTGGGTCTGCTTTTCTAGTTTATAGCTCTGTAAACAAACAAGATTGATGGTTATAAAAATTAGACTTGGCCTTAGAAATACCAATACTATAATGAGTAATATACATTCAATTCCATACTTCAGTGAGGGGTTGTAAAAAAATTAGAGAAGAGAAAAGACCTACATAATAAATTTCATGTCCCAATTCTTGTACTAGGGTAGATTGAGGATTTTTTGAAATATTTCCTTATAGAATGAAGGACTTAAAACTTGTATTAAAATTTGATTTATTAACTACGTTTTGATGCCAATTTCCTTCAAATGCATTGATAATATAGTTTGATTAAATTTAAAATGTAACTCTCTAAAAAGGTCATGACATGTGCACTTTGATCTAACCATGGTGAGAAGGTTAACCCTTCTACTACAAGTGGTTGTAATCCACCCATCTCATATTCCCCAAAGTAACCATAAAGCAGTTATAGTGTAACCTTTTAAAATACACACGTATCTTCACAAAATTTTGCAGATTATCAGTAAACATTACAAGGCACTCGAACACAAAGTATCAGATTATTTAAATTACGTTTAACACTTTTAAATTAATTATTTGCTCATGCATTTTTTATTTTTGAATGTTTACTATCTAATATGAAGTAATTTTGATTTTAAGTGTAAAAATATATTTTTGCACCAGAAAATTGTCAAATTTCACATGCAAAATCTCTTCAACCTCCTAATAACCTTTAGATAATTATCAAACGTTTTTTTAAGAAAAAACTTTAATTTTATCTGATATTTTCACTATTGTATCTCTGTATGGGTTTTGTCAATTTGACTGACCTCATAACCACCATAAAAAATAGGGAACAGATATTAATTACTCTCTCTTTGTTCTAGAATTACTACAAATTATAACACAAAATCACAAATGTTTATTTTAAATAGCTTAAATCTCATAACATCATACATGTGTCAAAATTTATTATTTTTATTTTATTGACCTTTCAGCCATATTCAATAATACATAACTGACCATTACAAAGTGACCTGTCTTGGCTGCATTTTTGTGGAACATTATTTTATAAAATACAATCATCAGTTATAATACGCTATTATTATTATTATTATTTACAAATAAGTTTTTAATTTCAGTTATTTTTCTTAAAGCATAGAACAGTAAATAAAGAAGTATAGAAAAAATAATCTCTTCTAGTTACAAACTTTGTACTCTTTCGCTGTAAGTTACTAAGCCTTATCAAACTTTGCACTTGGAGGATGTAAAAAAATAATTTTTTTATGTATTATATATGCATTTTGAAATACATAAAAAAATCATAAACGACTATATTAATATCATAGAATTCTACCATAATTTATCAGGCTTAGTAACTAAGCTGTAATTAGGTCTAAAAAATATTTTTCAAGCTCAATAATGTCTTACCTTACCACTTGAAATCTACCATGAAAAGAAAGGGTTTCCTGCACAAGTACTTTGAAGAGGCTCATAAAACCACATGGGGGACATTCGGAGCTTTTCATTAGTTATACAAACTGTAGATTATAATTCACATTTTCATAATATACATTATTTAATTTCTTATTTCAAAAGTAAATATTAAAAAACACCTAAACATCGATTTTTGTGTGTCACGTGGTATGTTGAATGCAGCACTGGTCCAAATTAGATGTTTGTGAAGTCAAAATACTACGTCTATAGTTTTGTATGAATTAGAAACTCAAATTACAGATATTAATAAGCTAGAATATAAAATAAGAATGTCATATCTTTTCTATTTGCTAAGATATTGCTCATGTAATGAATCGAACACAGTGGACACACTCACCTCTTTCCATTTTTGAAAACAGTCCCTTATATACACTTCTATATATATATATGACATGTGAATAACCAATCAAAAGCTCAGAATGTTCCCCTAATGGCTTTCTTAGCCATTTTCAAATATAACAGCATCATATCTTTCTTCTTGAGACAAACCTTTGTGCTGATAAAGTTGAGTCTTTAGCTAATATCAAAATTTTATATTTTTT